CGAATTGTTCTGACAAGGTCTCATAACATTATTGTTGTTCTTATCTATTAGAATTGTAAATAAACCAACTTTTGTCTTAGCTGCGTGCCACTTTATATTTAGTCAAGGATAAATAAAATTTAATTGCTTTGCATAGGCATTTTATGACCTCTTCCGCCCCAGGGCAACGAATCCCTTCTTAGAGTCAGAAAATTCAGTTGTTCAAATGCTGCGGAGAATGGAAGTTTGACTGAATGCCTTCGAATGATAGAATATTTTTAAATACACTGAGAGGGAGGATGCAGGAGTTATGTTTTTGAACTAAGCTCAAAGATTGTTGGTATTTAGTCAACGTCAATGTTCATATAAAATTAAAATGTTTTAAAAATGTGTTAATATCATACTAATGTCTATTGCAATTGCTATCACTCAGTCTAGACTCTCTGCGCAGTTTTAGGTCAAATTTAGTACACACAAAAACGCCAGGCATATGGAAATTGTTTTCCAAATTGAATTTCACTGATAAATTGTGTTTGTTAGCAGCTGCAGTGCTTCATTTTGACCAAGTTCCGCTGCGGAACTTTGCCATCTTGGCTGGAGAGCTACATTGAACTGGTTCATAATCCGCCTGCAACCGGTTACAGTTGCATGTGTTGAGAATTTGCTATTTTGCTATTTTGCTAATTTGCTTGAAAATGAATCACATTATTATTATTATTATTATTACCATTATTATGAATGTGGAGGAAAACTATTGCATGCCCAGCCAGAGCAACACATCGCAATTGTCTCTGCGCGTGTGGCTATCGATTCGGCCTGGCCCTAAGGTCAAAGTTTGCTTAATTTGAATTTGGCTTTCAATTCATATGCATATATTTATTTATCGATCTGTTCATATAGTAACACACAGCTGCGGCATATAGTATGTGCAGTCGAATGCATTTCTGAAATGCATTTTGAATATCTATTTTTTTTTTTTTTTTGCTGCCACAAAGACAAACATTTTCTTGGTAAGCGTCCAAAAAATAAATCCGTCTATTGACCATAAAGAAATGGCGTTTTGAATATTAAAATTGCATTTTGTATACCCTAGAGCCGTTAAGTGTCTAAGAAAGGTAATAACTACCAAATGGATAAGATAAAGAAATTATCTATTTTCAAGTTTGTACGTGAGAAATAAAGGAAAAAAAAAGAAATACGAAAATATTCTATATATAGGCATATTCTTCAGTTTCATTTACGTCTGTTCGACTGTCTAAAAATTAACCACAAAGATGAACAGATCGTCAGAGGCTGAATACACATTTACTCAAACTAACGAAATAGAACTTGATCATATAATGACCAATTTATATTATACTTCCTTTCAGTACAGAGTATCTAGCAACTACATATAACCCACTTTCTCGTCTGACCTTTAAATGTTTTCTTTTTGGCCATTTCAAACCTGAACTTGAATTTGACGCAGTCTGGAGGCATGGCCAACGGCTACAGACGACTAAATTCTGTTCAAAAATATTTGCAATTTATATGAAAACTGAAAAAAAAAAAAAAAACAAAACAAATTGTGAATGCAAAAACCAAAAGTCAAAGTTAATATTCAACAGTTGAACGGATACGTCAATTCCATTTAGCGCTCAAGTACTGCCCCCAGGTGTCATATCACGGACCATAATTCCATAAATTATTATCGACAGCAGTCAATATTTATGTGCCAAAAGCGAACTTTATGAAAATTATTTCGGAAATCCATTCACAAATGTCAGTTGAGTATATTAGTTTTGTGCAATGCCCGTCTTGCTACCCGTTTCTCTGAAAGTTCAAAGAGATATAGTGAATGAGGCATGGCAAGTCGGATAAAATTGTATCGTGTACAATTTCACAGCTAGAAACTAAAAAAATAAAGCTAAAAATGGATCTGGAGTATTATGCAGTCGATAACGCCCGGCTAAAACGTTCTTATTTATGTATTTTTATTGTGCTTAATAATTAAAGCCGATTAAGCTTAAGGCAAAGAAATTTTTACTTTTTAAAGCAATATTTTTATAGCACTTGAGAATAATTTTCCAGTTTAAATTTGTAGGCATTTCATTAATACACTTACGCTTGGCTGTCAAGGTCACAGATTTTGTGTGTTGTGTGGCCTTTAGCCACTGTGTTACATAATTCACTCGGTTTGCAAACATCCTTGCTATGCGCTCATGGTGCTTTTTGAATTGCTGAAATTCTAGTAACATTATCGTTTACTCTGGCCTCTTAAGTTCTTAAACTATTTAATTGGATGCAATTAGTTCCATCTGAAATGAATTTATTTTACACTGAACTCTGTTGTTCAATTATTAAGTTAGCCATAAGCCGTTTAGCGACTTTGATTACCGCTCTAGGGCGATTAAGTGGTTAGTTAACGTTTGCATAGAAGTCACTGAGCTTGAAAATGTTTTCAGTTGGTTGTGGCCCCGCCATGCCGCTCATTGACGGACTCTCTGAATTGACTTGGGGGGTAAATCAATTTAGAATACGCCGATGGCCGATGTGACGCACGCGCCTATTGTTTAAATTGAAAATAGGAACTACAATCTGAAGAGGGGTTAGGTTTATTTAATGTAAACGGAAAGTTTTTGACGCATATTGATTTCATATTTCATATCGTATTTCGGGATTGATTACTAAATTTCAAAGACAGGCCACGAGTTAGTGGAAATTTCATTAGATGAGACGGACAAGACTTAATTGAGATATAAAAGACCTCGTTGTAGGACTCCAATTGAGACTTCGACAACAAGAATCAGACTCAAATTCTGGTTCAGCTGAAGACATTTTTTTAAATAGAGAGATGTATCAGAAATATTTCCATCTATTATTTATGTTTGATATGATATATGAATCGAATTAAAATAATTTGTTATAACACTTCTTAAGTTGCTTCTTTTTATTTTCAATCTGGATGAAAGTCTATTTGACTCAACGAGATCCACTGTAAAACTGAAGTCAGACTTAAACGATGATAGGCAATTAACATAAAGACTTTAAATGAAATCGATTGACACTTAACATAGAGGTAGGTACCTATCGATATACGATTTATACAATTAACATAAAAGCTTTGCATTATAGAAATGCTTTTTGATTAGCACACCAATAAGAATGTTCTAGTAAGGAATTTTCGACTGGAAGATACCCTGAGCTTCAGGTTTAAGGCCTCAGCCAACCAAGTCTTCGCTTGCAGCCATGTTGTTTTCTTGAGTATACACATTTTCGAAAAGATAAAGCTATCAGAATGATTTATTTGGTCTATGTTTGTATATACTTAAGATGAATTTATATGCCAAATTAAATGTGGGTCCAAAGATTATGAGATATTATTATAATTAGCCCCCGTATACCCATAAACTATAGCTTATCACTTGACTGTGGCGACAATAATAAATCATATTTGACGGGCAACACTCTGAAAAGTAAACAACTGTAATATTTTTGCAAACGAATTCCACTTTCAATTGATAAAAATTGCATAAATATTGGGCTGAAGGCGACAACAGCGGGAGGCTCTGTCACTCGATGTTGCCCTTCAATTGAGTGCATCTTGTCATTGCACTTGACTGCAGCCAGTCGATGCATCAATTACTGTGGCACATAGTATTCTAATTATACGATCTTTCGCGCTTTATCTGTCTGTGGCGGCATCTTGATGGATAAGCGACTGTAATGGAAGCGCGTGTTGATAGCGGTAATTGTCTGCTATCAGCCGCTATTTTTGCGTCCAATTTAAATCTCCCGCTATCAGCATCCATGAGAAACGAAAAGACTTTAATTTGTTTAATTTTTTACTTGTATTATAACGGCAATTAGCATGGTCTATCATGGCGCTAAGTGCACTGGATCTATCCAGTTAAAAGTTCAAATATTTACTCGACATCTGCAAATAAGATTTTCAACATCTTCAAGTGGAATACTTGCGATACGATTAGCGCCCAACGTCACATTGTCAATTAACAATGGAAATTCAAAAATTTAGAGGTGTGTACAAAAATGTTACTCAACTTTGGACTAACTTAACAGAAATATCATTCATTGGGGCTGTAATATGAGTTTTTTAAATTTTATTTATATCAATTTTCCATTAGTCGTAATACGAAAAAGATTCACGTTATCGAAAATTCAAGACAAATATTATTTTTAACATATTTAAGAAAATTATATTTATTAAATAGCATAGAAACATTTTAAAGAAATTTTTTAGTTTTCATTTTAAAAGTTAGAGAAAATTCAAGGACTTTAATAAAAGTATTTCCTATCCCTAGAACTTTTCCCCAATATTCGCTCAGCACGGAATAGACCTAGATCCATATTTAAGCCTCTATCTGATAAATCATAAGCCATTCCCAAGATTGTATTTCTTTATATATTGATATACGATATCTCAGTGGTATTTCAGGCTTGGCTTTCACTTCCATTTCTTACAGCTGAAAACGAACAGTATATTTGATTACAATTGATATCTGATATACCTATATATATGCTTAAGCACACAAAGAGCGAGAGAATGAATTGGTTGTACTTTTGGCTCTGCGTGATTTTAGCACATTTTCTTATTGTTTGGCATTTTTTTATTGATTGGTTTGCCTTTTAATGTTCTCTGTGCAAAGATTCGCTTAAAATGTGGAAGTTTTCATGCTAAGTGAATTTACTGGGTTTTAACCAGTTTAAGTTGGTTATTGCGGCAGGTCGGTCGATAGGCTATTGCCCATAGATAATCAATTCGATTAGGATAGGTTAGGTAGGAAGCGTGCTTGAAATATAAATGAAGTGATTTAGCTGTTAGGAATTTTTTTAGATGCACATAGAGTGAAGTCACATTTTTGAATGAATTCAAGGATTCAAGGAACTCCTGGCTGCCGTTGTTTGTCTAAATAATGTCCATAATATATAATGTATATATATTGTATATGTGTATTTGTAGAAGGACCCACGGGTCGCTTAAGCAAACTCGTTTGACATTTTGTTTAATCTTCTACTTACAGACACTCGCCAAATTGAGTTCAACTAGGCGGCAAGAAACGGTATAGCAAAGCACAAACACCCACACACACACGCCAAGTAAACACACATACACACATAGTGTATATTATGCCCGCAGAAATCAATAACTCTGCCGTATACCGAGTTCAAGTCGTAAACAACATAAATCAACAACAAAAGGCCGGAGCATGAGTGGCCGGACGGAAAAGGATTACGACAGTGCGACGCCAGCGTTGCAGCAACAAATGAACCTCGCCCGCCGCGCCTGCTGGAGCAGCTGCGCAAGCACAGCAGCTCCTCCCACTCCCACTCCCACTCACACGCGCAGCGCCGACTCCAATTCCAATTCCAGTTATCGCCTTGGTGCTATAAAAACTCAATTGCGCGAGAGAACAGCTTGCCAGGCAGTGAATCGAATGGCTCGAAATCAAAGCGTGCACCACTTGGCTGCACCACCAGCAATCGCACCACCGAGTGAGCCGCCATCAGCAGCAGCCACAAAAATGTGTAAATACAGTGACAGTGGCAGCTGGCAGCGGCAACTGTTGCTTCTGTTATGCGGCATTTGTTTGCTCTTGGGCAGCATCGAGGCGCGTCCCAATATGAGTGCAGCCAGCAGCTCCAGTTCCAGTTCCAGCTCCAGCTCCAGCTCCAGCTCCACAATGAAGCCGGCGGATTCCCTCCCACAGCTAAACGTAAGTTTCAATACTTTTTTGATACGTTTGGGGTTATCCTAGAATATCGGACTGTTATTGTTATGAGAGAGGTTTGGTCGACTCACTGCCAATTTCAATAAATTTTTAATTCAAATAGTAGATTTTTTTTTTTTCAATTTTATATGTTTAACTATCTGTCATTATTCTTGAGATTATTGTCGCCAATTAAAGGAAATAAAAAGTACTCTGAACGACCCTAAATTCTGGTTAAAAATAAAAGTTTTTTTTTTTAACAGCACAAATTAAATAAATATTTATTGCAAAACTAAGCAATACACATTTATTTCTCAGGATTAGGGATCAAGCAGAGTATCCTTTGTCGCCTTTGTTGGCTTAGTAGCTTGCTAACATTACTATCCACTTAATCTGTTAATTTTTTTATTCAACTCATCAAGGACCCTTTGCAGGATTCCTCATAAGCTTTTCAAGTACTCTTCTACATTGATAGTGATTAGAATATTTATTCTCCATTCGTCAGAATCTCGAAGACTCGCCAAACGCTCTTTATTTAATTAGAAATCCATAATTATCGAATCATTTTATATTTTATATAAATTTTAGTGTATAGAAAATTCATAGCTTAACTACAAATCAAAATCATCCCCTTCCATATCCTTCAATTCAATTGCTGCTGTTTAACTTACCTTACTTCATTTTAACTTTGTTGTTTCCCTCATTCCTACCGCATGAAATCAAGTCATTTATAATTTATGAGCTGCCATTTGATTCCAACTGCTTTTAAATTGATTTCAATTGGATTTTGACTGCTGTCAATTTGGTTAGTTAAATGTAATGGAGTATGAGAAACCTTTAACTGGCCTACTTAAATAACTTCGATTCCCTTCGAGTAGGCCAGTTAAAGGTTTCTCATTTCCGTCGGAAATTTTCCTGAATTTTTTAAATAATAAAAATTTAATTAGTTACATTGACTGCTTTCTTGCCCTATTCAACGACTGCGCAAAAAAAAAAAAAATGGCTTTAATTATGATAATTGGCCAAGTTGAAGAATTGCAAAACGCTGGAAATGCCTTATGTCATGAGTTATTAACAAATGTGTCGGCTGACGTCAATGGCTGACAGTCTGAATGGACGGACAACCGACTGAAGATATAGTCTATGATAGATACGACTGTACAGCCTTAAGAGATAATTGTAGTTTGTAATATGACAGGGATTACTTTGGCTGATTGTTCCACTTAGTTAGTTAGTTGAGTGACACAAAGATAAATGTATTTGATGTTGTGATATAAGAACTCACAATTTAGCGAGGGATTAGAATGTGATACAGAAATTATAAAAATTAAATGGATTATAAGAAACTTTAGTGGTTTATAAATTTGAGTCTGAACAATAAAAGTAAATAACGGCACTGACCTATAACAACATATCGTGAACTGAAATATCAAGCGACATATGATAAATTATTTATAAGAATTCATTCATGAATTTTTCCGTTGGGTGAATCACCCTTCAATTAACTGTCTAGCTGCTCGATAAAGTCCTTTCGACATTATTTGACATTATTTATGGACAATTACCGATATGTGTACCGAATTCGACCTGATAAAAGCGAATCAATTACAGTGGCGCCCTGGCCAATGATTACATTTATGCTTATATCCTTTCGCCCCAACACGTTTAGCTGGCACAGACGACAACGACGTCGTCGTCGTTGGCTGCGTCAACGGCGCTCCCGCCACCTCTGCCTCTTCCCCACGCCGCACACCTGAAAGCAGACACTCACGGCGAGAAGGACCTGTTCGATGTGTCGCTCGACGATGAGGAAGAGGAGGGACATCATCACACGGAACGCTATCCGCTCTCCCAAGTGGATTTTGCACGGGTCAAGACGCCGTTCATAATTGGCATTTGGATACTGTCAGCGAGCATTGCCAAAATCGGTAAGTATATATGCTTAGTACCTACAATATACCCATATTTATGTATATAGTATGTAACTCTAGTTGCTGTGTCTGTGTGGGGGCGTGGCTGTAGGCTGGCAGCGGTTGCCAGGACAGCAAAATCAATATGTTTTATATAACGTTGGCCCTACCGCTGTCACTGACATGCAGATTTACGTCAAATTGTAAGCGTGTGTGTGTGTGGGTGTGTGTGAGTGCCTGTATTGATGTGTGAGTGTACAGCCCTGTCCCAGCTGAAGGACATTGCATAAGCGCCAGCCAAGTGCGCAACAAGCACAACGAAAACCTTGACACTGCCCCCTAAAAAGCAACCCCCAAAAAAAATGTAATTCAATCCCTGCGCCAACCCTCAAACCGTAGCCCAAACATCAGCCCCAGGAGCAACAATTTACTGATTGCATAAACCATTCTGGCTGCAATCTCGATGCCGACCTACCACACCTCCCGCCCGTCGACCCCATCGCGCTCTTGACTTTGTAATCTGCTTGGCTTGCTCTTGCAGCCGATTTAAACCTTGACTGGTTTTTGTTGTTTTTTTTTTTTTTTTTAATATTTTATTCGCTTTTGCACAAAAGTCCATTTGCTGAAGGCCATCAAATATGCGCCCGAAAGGCACACGCAGCTAAACAACTCACCCACCCATCCATTGTTAGCCTCTTTTTATAGACAACTCCCCGCTGCTCCGCATTGGCAACACAAGTGACCAGAGCGACTTAAACGCTTATAAGAAACATTTTCAAAATGATGCCAAAATTATGCAGAAGTTAATTAAATTAAAGTCTCACTTTAGCTTGATGAAATTTTTGGGGAAATTGCAACCACGGGTTCTATATAGATTTTTAATAGAGAGAACGATAAATAAAATAATATTAGGTTACTATAACATATATTAAAATTATAATAAAATAAAACTAGTAATAGAAACATTCATATAAGGTATATTCTGCATTCGTCTCGACAATAATAAATAATATTCAAATCTAATCATTAATTAGAATGAAAATAATTTGAGATATATAAAATATAATGRAATATATTTGATTTTAAATTATGTCTTTACTAATTTTGTTCTACAACTCTTACAAATTTATTTGCGCATATTTGTGTTGAAGTGCCTTAAGTGTCTTGTTTTATGTAGCAGAGTGTACTATAGTACTATAGTACTATAGTAGTATAGTCGTCAGTATAGACATTGACCCAAATACAGAAATCAACAATAAACAAAGTGTATATTTGCGAGGTATATGGGAGGGGATCTGATGGCGAAATTTCCATGTAAATGGGCCTTTGTTGAAATGGAAATGGCTATTGTCTCGCTTTTTATAGTCAGTGTAACTTCAGCAAAAGTATTTGTAAGCCACGCCCTCGTCAACGCCCCAACTACTCTGATATGTGCATATGTAAATACATGAGTATTGTGAGGCCCATGTCAAGTTTTCTTTTTTTCGCATTTTAAACTTATATTTGTTTTTCTCTTTACATTTCAGGTTTTCACATGACACCCAAGTTGCATCTGATATTTCCGGAATCCTGCCTGCTGATTGTCGTGGGCGTGGTAATAGGCGTTGTGCTCTACTTTTGCACGGATGTTGCCGTTTCCCCACTCACGCCGAACACGTTCTTCTTCTACATGCTGCCGCCGATAATTCTGGATGCGGGCTACTTTATGCCGAATCGCATGTTCTTCGACAACCTGGGCACCATCCTGCTAATGGCCGTCGTCGGCACCATCTTCAATGTGGCCACAATTGGTAAGCGTATCCAATGAATTGATTTCCATTGAAGTTGCGTCATCGTCATCGTCATCGTTATCGCATCTGTGCCGCCAATTGAGTGGAACGCGACCCTTAAGTGTGTTGAAATTGAAGTGGTTGCTCAGCCATGACTGCACCACTTGATGGTGGATCACACTCATCCATTACGCGCGAAAGCTTAATTCATTTGCCCTCTCATGGAGCCTAACAATAAGCATAGATAGTTTGAGTGGAGGGATCTTGGGGTACTTGGTAATACTTGGTACTTGGTACTTGGTAATAGTTAAAATGTTGGATAGATAAAATATGAATATGTGTATAAGTAAATATTTTCACAAAGGTAAACTTTAATCTCTTAAAAATTATATAGTTATTCCATTCCCAAATTATCAATTCAGATTTTCATATAAACCTGCTTTAAACCTTTTCGGAATGTTAAACTGAACACATTTGGGAATTCAAAGTAAATGAGCGTTGCCAAGGAAATATTAATGTTAAATATTAACTATTTAGTAGCTATATACCATATTAATGTATATAGCCACTAAAACCAGAATATAAAATTAATAATACGATGTCAGTGCAGCCAGCGTAGCGTTAACTCTCAACATTTCAATTGCAATTTTCACACGCCGACACAGTCAGCAAAATTAGTGGGTACATACATACATATGTGGAGCATTACACAGAGCACATTACAATGGCGACACGCTTGTTACACACACACACACACACACATCGAAATTCGTGGCACGCGAACAACAAACATTGTTGTCCAAGGGCAGGGCAATATGAGCATGGAACGGAGAGTGACTGCGCAGGGTTGTGGGGGGAGGGAACAGTTGTAGATGACCGTTTAGACGTGATTTATGCCAAATGTGGCACCGCACGGGATTGATGTGAATGTGTGCATGCATATACACATAGATAGACACATACATACATACAGATACAGATACATGCCTGTATCTAGGGTAATTTTTGAGGAAACGAGATTTAATGATGAAGGCACGAGGCAGTACGCTCAGTCGGCTCACATCCCCACAAAGTGATTTTAATGAAATATAAGCAAATATTTACAGATCTGAGAGACTTTGTTACACCTAAATGTTGACAAATGTTAGATAAAACCCACACTGAAACTCATATTAAATGTAGTGTTTCCTTGAGTAAGTTGAAATTTAAGATTTTTGTTGGTGTCTTGTTGAGATTTTATTACGCGTACTTTTCCAAGTATTTTACTGTTGGTGCTACCAGGGTTTTTACTGATATACAAAGCTGCTAGATATTGTTACAAATGTTAGATATGACCAACTTTGAAACTCAAGTTTAAATTTAAGATTTTCATTGCTGATTTGTTGAGGTTGTTTTGCACGGTCTTTTTCGAGTATTATTCTACAGCAACTGTATTTCTACTGCTATATACATATATACTTCTAAGTATATGCTGCTATTACTTTTTCTGCAGAGCTACAACGTACCTTTACTTTTCCTCCTATTGGCTTGTTAAAACCAAATTACTACTTTTACTTCTCCTGCTCTTTTTTATGAATAACTGCAACTAGCTGTTCCTGCCCTTTCACAAAATAGCTACTGCTTTTCAATTATCAATTGCTCTAAATTCAACCTGTGTGTGCATTATCTCATCAAATAACCCAATATTAATACAGCGTATTCCCATTTCAATTGCATTAGAAGAACTCAGTTTAATTAAGTGTGCGCACACGTGCCGACGTGTGCAACTGACAATGCAATAAATTAAAAAAAGAAGAAGCAGAGAATAGCAATAGCTGAGTGTAGAGATTCATGCCCGTCCTTGCATTGCAGGTGGCTCGCTTTATGCGTGTGGCGTGATGGGCATCTTTGGCGATGAGACGCCCAAGCTATTGGATGTCTTTCTGTTTGCGTCGCTTATTTCCGCCGTGGATCCGGTGGCCGTCCTTGCCGTCTTCGAGGAAATACACGTCAACGAGATCCTCTACATTGTTGTCTTCGGCGAGTCCCTGCTAAACGATGCCGTTACGGTAAGTACAGTTGCTTTTATTGGGTGATTCGCCTGAAGCTTTTACAAGCCCATCAAATCATCGTTTAAGCCACGAAGCAGTTCCTCTCGAAATGCAACTACCGATTGTTACTAGCTGGCTATACTATATACATTCGTTTGATATGCTCTTGCAGGTTGTCATGTACCACATGATGGAAGTCTATAACGAAATTGGATTGCCGCACATAATGGCGCAGGACATTGCCAGCGGCGTTGGCTCCTTTTTCGTTGTGGCTCTGGGAGGCACTGCCATAGGTAATATATACATAAGTTGAACGTATCGAATATATACTATAGATGTATGCGTAGAATGAAGACATATTCATACAGCTGTAGTTCATTATAAATGCATATTCAGATTGATGTATATTATATAAATAATAATAAACATATAAGAGTGCTCTTAGGAGACATCTAGAGCCCTGCGGACATTTCTAGGATTTTTATCCCATTTTAAGTTATACTGTATGTCTACTAGATCTAGATTTATATTCAAATATGTTTTTATATCCTTATTCAATTCATATTCTATTTGTATTTTGTTTATTTTCCCTACTCAGGCATCATTTGGGGCTTCCTAACCGGTCTGGTAACACGATTTACGGATCATGTGCGTGTCATAGAGCCCATATTTATATTTGTTATGGCCTATCTTGCGTATCTAAATGCGGAAATCTTTCATATGAGCGGTATTCTAGCGTAAGTATGATCTAAATAAAACTAATATAAATATTAGTATATTTCAATATTTCTACATTTCTCTTTTTCTCTCTCTCTCTCTGTTTCTCTCTGGCTCTCTCTTGCTGTATTGTGCAGCATTACCTTCTGTGGCATTACAATGAAGAACTATGTGGAATCGAATATCTCTCAGAAATCGCACACGACCGTTAAATATGCCCTGAAAATGTTATCCAGCTCGGCGGAGACAATTATCTTTATGTTCCTAGGCGTGGCGACAGTCAATAACATGCACGTGTGGAATACGTGGTTTGTGGTGCTAACCATTACCTTCTGCTCCGTTTTTCGTGTTATCGGTGGGTGATCTATTTACTCTTCCAAATGTCCATTGCTGAAATCATTCTATTCCTGCCCAGGTGTGATTATACTGTCGGCCATTGCCAATCGTTTTCGACTGCACAAATTGTCGCGGGTGGATCAGTTCGTCATGTCGTATGGCGGTCTACGTGGCGCTGTTGCCTTTGCTCTCGTGCTGCTCGTCGATGAGAAGGTGGTCAAGCATAAGAATATGTTTGTGACCACAACCATAGCTGTGATCTACTTTACGGTGTTTCTGCAAGGCATCACCATAAAACCGCTCGTCAAGATACTAAATGTGAAGCGAGCCAACAAACGTAAACCCTCCATGAACGAACGCATACACGAACGTGTAAGTTGGACATGCATGTTAATTATTTAGCTGGTAGTTAGAAATGTTATCTGTATGAAGGATATACATTTATACTCCTGATTAAACCTAGCTAATCTACACTAATTATTTTGTTTATTTCTTTAGTTCATGGACCACTTGATGGCTGGCATTGAGGATATTGTGGGCAAGACAGGCAACTACAATGTGCGTGATAAGTTCAAGCGTTTCGACAATCGCTTCATACGCCCACTGCTGATCAGAGATCTGAAGGTAAAATAATCCTAACCAGATTATATCTCGATTTATTTAAACTCTCTCTCTATCTCTGTCTGTTTTACTCTGCAGGGCGCTGAACCAAAGATTATTGAGACATACTCCAAGCTGACCATGCGCGATGCCATGGAGGTGATGCGTCGCAATCCTTCGACAATTGGCCAGATGACGGGCACCGAGTCGATGAGTGCACTGTTTAGGAATTATACCAATAATTATATTGGGGGCAGGTGGGCACCGCCAACCATATACACCACCTGGTAAACGAATTTTGGATAATCGATAAACAATAATCGATAACGATAACGATAACGATAACAATAGACGTACAATGCATGTATGCAACAAATTAAACAACAAAACTTTTGTAGTCCTTTCTTAGCATGAACAGCACAAACAATTTGATTGGCTCCTAATTTGTACACTCAATAATACTTCTGTCTCTCTCTCACTCTTACACGATTATTCTCTATATATTACTTTTGCATATCTAAAATTCGTTTATCTGTATCTTTAGTTAATATTTGGTAGTGTTATATGTACATACATATAAGAACTTTATTTTATTGCCTTCTAATCTCTTGAATCGCACAGTCCAAGCTTAACAAATCTGGATAACTCGTGCTCCCACAACCTCGACATGGCTGAACTGGACTATAATCCATCGAAAAAGGATTTGACTGATGCCAAGATACATCACTTGCTCGCCGAAGAACTAAAGCCCTATCGAAGGGTATGTATACCGATAACGAAAGAACAACATTCAGCATTTCAGCATAATAATCGATTTTTGTTTGGTTTTCTATGATATAGCAGTACCAGTTTTATCGACTACTACTATATACCTTATAGCATTTTCACATACACATATAGACACACACACACAGCCCAAGTTCTTAAATRCTAATCCAATATATGATATATATATCACGATTCTAATCGATCTCACCAAAAATACTTGACGCCTAGTAGACGTATTTGTATATTATGCTTTCACCTTAGTTTCCTTTTTGGGCATTTGGTTTTGAGACACGCTTCTCTCTATCTCTCTCTCTCTCTCGCTCTCTTTCTCTCAATATATATAAATATCTATATTTATCTATCTCTCACACATACTCTCTATTTACATATACTGATTATATCTATATATTTAGATATATTTGTAATTAATCGTTTGTTTGATTTCTTCCCGTTGTTACGAACTCAACTTCGACTTCAACTTCTCGTCAACGTCACGTATTCAACTAAATCAAAAAAAAAAAAAAAAAAACAAAAAATATATCCAAAAACTACTTCAAATTTTTGTGTGCTTTGAAAATTATTTACGAAACTGTACAAAAATATTCAAATATTTTCGTAATGAAAGGCTTCCATACAAATGGTACGAATAAATTGGTTCAAACTGATTTAAGAGTTTTATGTTTAATTTTTAGTTTCGTTTTCTTAACAAATTTTTATAACCATTTCAATTAAAACTAATTTTTTTCTGTATATGTTACACTCTTTGTGAGTCTGTACGAATGACCACAAAACGTTTTTGTAATGCATATAATTAATTATATTAATTATACTAATTAACTAATCAACAGTTTCTAGTAATTGTCTTTATGTATTTTAATTGGTGTCTATATGAAAACAAATGCAAAAAACAGTCTTTAAATAATCGTATTTATAAACAAATTTTCTCTTAATGACAAAAATAATTGTCACATTTTATATAAATATACATGAGTACATATATGTATACTTAAATCCAATTTGATAAAGCTCTAAAATCAAATTTGATATGTTATTTTTATTTTTTTTTTAATTTTTACATTCATTGTACATGAAACAAGCTAAAAGTAAAGGTGGTTAGATATAGATAGACTCAATAGAATTTAAAAGTGATTCCGATAGAATCTAACTAAAAGAGATATGGAAATCTTTAAATATTTTCTTATAATAAACAGAAACAAAAAGATTTTTGATAAATTAGAAGATGTATAAAATTAAAAAATATACATATATAAAAAAATTTAAAAAAATAGAACAAATACTTGACATTTTTTATTAGATTATTTTTACCATAGTATTTCAAATTTCGTTAACAAAATTTGTTATTTAATTGAAAGTCTTACTTAATTTTACACTGAATTAAGTAAGGGGTTCGGCTCCGGCGCAAATATTTTTATAAAATTTTATTTTATTATTTATCACTTTTCACTTACGAAAATAATATGATTAACCTTCCACTTTTGCAAGATACTTATAACACTTACCGTTTAGTAATATATATTCATATATAATCATAGTTGTTGTGTTGCAATTTATATCCTTCTAATATTATATATCTGTATACTCTTTTCAAAATATACATTAGTGCTTGAAACAAATGAATATGTATGAGGTCTGTTCAATATTTATCTGCTTTGTCCCTTTCAACCGATGTATAAAAATTTTTGTGGCCTGTTTATAGTTCTTTTTAGAAACAGAAAAAAACATTAAAGGCCTGAGAAATCTAGAACATTATTAGTGTCCCCATGTTAGGTTCTCAAAGCCAAAGCAATTGCAAACGTGAAAGTTATACAAATATGGAATATTCAAACTTGCCGCCATAACTGAGTGACCTAAGAATATATAATATAATATAAGTTTGTTAAGAACAAACTAATAAACAAGCAAAAAAATATCTTGATTTGCTTGTATGGTTTAATTTTTATGCG